ATCATGATTGTTTTGAAACACTCAAGATTTGTAGCGGTTGATTTCCAATGTTGTGCAACCCATGTAATGATGATGGGATTCAAAGAAATTAAATCAGTTCTAATTGGATCTAGATATTTATTGTAGTTTAATTCCGATTTTACCTCACTGTTACTATTTAATCGTTTTTTATTATTTTTTTAACTTGTCTAGTGTGGGATTTTAGCCACTTTGAGTCTCCATGGGAAGAAAGGCATGGTACAAATAATAATAATAATAATAATAATAATAATAATAATAATAATAATAATAATAGATACAGACTCTGAAATGCTAATGGTGGTTTTGCCATTATTATTTATCATAGAATATTTTAAATATAGTAGACATTATAGGGGGGAAAGTAAAAATGAAAATATGTCTAGGCAGCTCACTAAGCAGGGGTCCACAAACCTTTTAAGCAGAGGGCCAGTTCATGGTTCCTTGGACTATTGGGGGGTGGGGGGTGGGTGGGTGGGGGACTATTGTTAGAAAAAAAGATGATTGAATTCCTGTGCACCACTGCACTAATTTTATTTGTAGCACAACAAAATGAAAGAACAATACAATGTTTAAGATGAAAAGCCATTTTAACCCACATAAACTTACCAGTATTGCAATGGGAAGTTTGGGCCTGCTTTTGACTAGGTAATTAGGATTGCTGTTGTGTGCCTTCAAGTTGTTTCAGACTTGGGACCATTCTAAACCTAATGTTTAGGGCGGGGGATGGGTAAATGACCTTGGAGGGCTCATCCAGCCTACAGGTCTTAGTTTGGAGACCCCTGTTCTAAAGAGACAAGGTAATTAGGCATTTCAAAATACCATTTTGTGGTTTGAAATGAAAATAATATTTCAGTTTATCCTTTTCTCATCATTAAAAAAGCAGCTGCCTTTTTCCTGATTCAGGATCAGATCGTTTAACTTCTATTCCTTCTTAATCAGAAATATAGAAAGATTAGTAGTTGTAAGAAATCCATTTGAACGAGCTGACTTGAGTATCTTGAAGAGATACTTGTGTTTTGTTTTATACCAAAATTAGGTCTCAGTCTCACATAAAGCTAGTTTATCCAGAGGTATATATTTCTTCTTCAAAGTTCGTTATATTGTGAGAAGAGAATTATATGCTTCAATCATAAAGAATGACATTCAGTTCGTAAATGAAGAGAGCAAATAATGCTTACGCTAGGACAGGAAAGATAGAACAGATGGTTTCATGCTGCTAAACAAGCTGCCATAAGTACGTAAGGAGATGGCATTGACGTATGGACATTGGGGGTCTACGCTTAAACTTGCTGTTAAGTCCAGTCCATGGTCACAACAATCTCATCATTTTAGCAGAAGCAAAACATCTTTGTTTCTACTATGCCCTAATAAAAGGAAAGGGTTTCATTGGATTCCTTTGAGATGATTAACCAAGCCCATACTTGTTGGGTTTTCCAACTGAGGAGAGACATGCTGTGTTCCCAGTCTTAGTGTTTGTTGAAAAAATATTAAGGAGAAACTTTCTGAAGAAAAGTCAGCTATTAATTCGTGCAGTGGTGATATTTGCACAAGACTGACTCCTTAATGAGGTAGCTCCCACAGACAGAGTTTCCTGTGTTCATTTCAAAGACAGGAAAGTAACTGTGAAGTCTAATTACCTCAGTATATGAAACAGTCAAACACTTTTTTGGTGGTAAAATATATCCACTTTCTTCTCTAGAACTATTAAATCTCTTGGACTTAAAGACTAAAAAGGTCTTGATGCTAGAATGATGTATTTTTGCATGGTTGTTATCTCATTCACAATATGATTATGACTGCATTCGGTCGACTCATGCACATATAATGGTAGAGTGAAGACAAAACCCAGAAGTGTAATCTATGCATGTATTATATGTATCTCTGTTACACCCAGATAAACTGAATTATTCAGTTGTTGGCTGTCGTGGGATTCTCCAGAAGAAGAAACGGTTAGGACTTCATTTTTGCACGGACACTTATCCGAAAGGTTCATACAACTATAGATGCAAAGCCGAATGCTTGATGGATGAGTTATTTATGCTCGAGATGGCTGTTTTGCCACTGCTTTTCCTTGATAAAATGTAGAATTTCAGTGATAGTAATCAACAGGACAAAATCCACTGACATCACTGGAGTGGAGTCTTATGATGTCAACAGCCACTCAAACAATCACAATCCCACTCTTTTAATAATTATATTTCGATAAGAAAAAATAAGATATCTGAGGTAGTCCATATTAGCCTTTAGACCTATTTATTTAGTGTTTTGTTGGTGACACTGAGGTGATGTTCTCCCTCATTACACAATAGGTAGTGTTTTACTAGTGAAATGAAGAACTCTTGGCAGGTTCTTTGTGTATCACTAACAGATAAGGGACTATGCAATGGATTTTACCGTGGGAGAAACAAAACAACTTATTTCTTGATTGGATAAGTGAATGTGACATGCTTCACTAAACCAGGCTGTGTTTATTTTGAAGCGCTTTACTGTATCTGCAGTGGGCATCCCAACTCATCTTGATTGCACCACTGTATAAATTGGTTTGAGGAGAAATGCATTATTTGTGGCTTCAACTGCAAGTTGCAGTCAGGAGAAATAGCTCCCAAATTACTTTTTCATGAGATTGGCTTGGCATCTTGCATTTCACACCACACCAATCTCAACAAGTGATTGTCTCCTGATGTTTTTAGATTGATAATACCGAGAAGAGAAGAGGGAATGGAATATAGCTCTTCCTCTGAATAGTTTTTCTGGTTGAAAACTTCTGCCTTGGCTTTCTCACGTGATCTGCCCCCTTTCCCCTTTCCCTCTTCCCTCTTATTCTCTGCATGCTAAGCTCCATAATGACTTTTTTATGAATAGGTGATAGTTGAAAACAGAATGCATTTAGAGAAAAGGCCACAAATGCCAGTGTAATTGTTTTAATGTAATTGTTTATTATTTACATGATGATAGCTTTGTTTGGTGCTTATGTGAGGCCACCCTGAGTCCGCTCTTCGGGGGAGAAGGCCGGGTTAAAGGGTATGAAATAAATAATAAATAAATTGTGCTCTCATGTCCTAATGCATCTTAGAGGCTGGGATTATTTTTGATATTTGTGATTTAGCAACAAAAACTGATATCCTGACCATAAAAAAAAAGGATGTTGTTGCTTTGAAATAGAAAAAGGAAGTGTTTCCTTCTGTTTTTCCTCCAGTTGGATTTCCCAGCCCAACTTGGGGGACAAAAAAGTTCTGATTCCTCTTCTCCCCAGTGTAAGCGAAACAGAGCCAAGTGGAACAAATGAGCAACTAAGCCTATAAGGAGAAACAGAGCCTCTGTTTCTCTTCGCATTGGAGAGCAGAGGATTAAATTGTTTTCAGTCTGTGTCTCAACTCACATGGGAGTTAGCACAGACCATGCTGCCAGCCTTCAAACACTGATTGCACACTTCAAAGCACAACCCTTGCTAATAGATGCTGAGAAGGACCACAAGAAATAGGGATGTGATTTCAAAGGGAGAACTGAGAAAAGTGGGAAATACACAATTAAAAGGGGAGAGAAGAAAACTATGTTCTTGTAAAAATACATGGATTTAAACCATGTTATCAGAGACAAAGCAGCTGCCTTGTATGCAGAAGTGGACAATTTGAGTGGGTAGAAGATAATGTAAAAGAAAGCACTTCAGTACATTGCTGCATAATCAGATGAAAGACATTACTGAAATGTTACCCTGATCCATACTTTTGGTAATAGTATAATTTTCCTATGAATGACTCTACGTTAAAATTCAAAAGATTTTATCCCCTGAAGTAGAGGCCTCTTGTTTTGCCTTCTATTCATTAAAACTGGCTTTCATAAAACCAAAAATAAAGCCCATGAAGTCTGTGATTCAACCCACATGCCCATGGATGGAGATAAAGGATCCTAACTTCTGCCAAGATAAGGGGAGAAGTCCTAAGGGCACACACTTAAGTACCCGGGATGCATTATGTGACTGAATGTGGGAAGAGGAAAAAGCAATTGGCACAGAGATTAGGGATTGTGTATATTAAACTGTTTGTTAGTGTCTCTTTATGCAGGCATTGCAGTTGGTTTCTCAATCCCATAGTAATCTTATTTTTTATTCAGTTGTGACCTTAGTTTCTCTAGCACTATGTTAAGGACACAGTGTTGAAGAGAATGACATGAGTGACAAACTAGGAGACTGTTGTATACTCTTCTTCTGAGAAGGAGGTAGAGCAGGAGGTTGAAGACGTAGGAGTTGGGGATTTGGGACCAAGTGTTGAGGAGGAAGAAGAGAGCAAGGAAAAATACTGTCGTTTCCTATGTTTCACCGTAGGACGAAAGAAGAAAAAAGAAGGTCAGCTAGAATTGCTGCAAGGACACTGAGCAATCGGATCTCACTCTAGGAACACCTGTTCTGAGAACTGAGGGCTATACATCAGCAGTAAAGCAAGTAGTCACTGCTGGCAGCAACCATTCTACTTAGTGCTACTATTCCTCTATGTTTCCTTGGTTGCAGCTCCAGCATCTGCAGAGTGCCTCACAAAGACATTTTGCCAAAGATTCTTGTTTCATGTGTGATATAAGACTTTTGCTTTGCTTTTAGGATTTTTCTTATGTTCCCTTGCTTCTGTTTGTTACATTATTATCATTTAGTTGAAGTAAAGCTATTTTAGTTGCTTTATCTATTTATTGTGCAAAACAAGTCAGAGATACCATCTGTGGCATTTCTCTACATTCCTTGTTGTGATCCCAAGGGACATGTTGCTTCTGGAGCCAATTGTGCTGAATAGTTTGTTGAAAACCCCTCTAGTTTTTCTGTCAATATTTGTTTCCTTATCCACATGATTATAAGTCCTCTCTCTAAGACTCTTTTAGGGTTTTGTATAAGGTATTTTGGGATCCCACAGCACACCCTCCACGCCCTCATACACAAAGTGAAAGATGTGGTGTATAGAAAATTCTTACACTGCTTGCTTCTTTTTCTCTTGCAGCTGCCTGTCCTGTGTGAACGGGTCCTTTCCTTGCCACTGGTGTAAATATCGTCACATTTGTACTCACAATGCAGCTGACTGTTCCTTCCAGGAAGGCCGTGTCAACATGTCTGAGGTAAGCAACCAAGTCTTCTTTTAGCATGCCATTTACAGATCTTCTCTTTCGTCTTTTGGTTCTCTTCTTCAAAACTCATCCATATGTTATAAACAAAATATTCAGTACTTCTTTAGAAGCTTCAAATGCAAGTAGTCAGGAAACATTAGTATGACCTGATGAGCACTTCCTATTATTATATATATATAAAGTTCTTGGCATATGTTCTGGGCCTCATAGTGCATGTATGTGGGGGGGGGGGGAGGAGAGAGAAAAGTATATTCAAAAGAAAATTACAAGAATGAGAGTGGTGTGGAAGGAAGCACATATTAGGAAACACTGAGGGATGGTTAGTTGGTAATAAAAAGGGTGGTGGTGGGAAGGATGTTGACAGGTTCAGAGTACTTTAAAGTGTTGCAGAAGAAGAAAACAAACAGGTGTTTATTCTGTTTACTAGCAGAATAAGAAAGAATGTCTTCTAAGAATAACTTCCAGGAAGGACAGTTTAGATTCATCTTTGGCATTCTGTTCACATGTCTCATAGCTTCTTTGTCTGTCACCTCAGTTCTTGTGAAAACAAGTGCTTTTGCTTTCAATGAAATTCACTGCCAAGGAGGTGTGCTGAGGATAGCATTCCAAAGCTTTCCTAAATTTGACCCAGAGGCTCAAGCAAGTACTATGCTTTCTAGATTAGTGCCAGGTTTGTGGTTCCTTTGTGTGAAGGAGTGCTTTGCCTAACAATGAAGTGAAACCTTTTTGTACCAAGAGGATTTTTCTTCCTTATGCTTTTGTATCTCTGTCTTACTCTAGCACACAGTTATTGCACAGGCCATTAAGAAAAATGCCTGCAGGTCAGAATGCTGATTACAAATAGGTCACTATTGCACTTACTAAGGTCTACCCTTCTTCTCTTTGTCTGAACTTTATCATTTCAGTCTTTAGGCATGCCATTAACTCTTTTTCTGCTTCATTGTTTGGAGCGTGTTTCTCCAATTGTGAATGTGGGCAGATTTTTCAATTGACTTGCAAGGGGAGACCCACAAAGCATGCTTCAAGATATATTTTACAACATGTAGTGTCCTTAAGGAGGAACATAATGTATGCACTTTATTTCTTTACATGTTGATATTTTTCATAAAATGTATTATTTTCTATATCAGCAAATCTGAATTGTTAGAAAAATAATCGATTCTAAGTGGCAAACCAACAGCACTCCAGAAATGAGCCATCTTGAAGCTGTTTCATTCTGCAGACTATAAATGTGAAGTGGACAAAATGTTTTCACCTAAAGCAGGCCTGCACAACCTGTGGCTCGCCAGGTGTTTGGGACTCCAACTTCCTGAAGTCTTAGCCATTTTTACAATAGTCAGAAATTCTGCAAACTGAAGTCCAAAACACCTGGACTACCACAGGTTGTGCAGTCTTTCCCTAAAGGATGTAATTGACTTCTTAGAGCAATGAAAATCTGGATTTGGGGATTTCCGGGGTGGAATGACAGTGAAATACCTGCAGCCTTCTGAGGTCCATGAAGGCATGTGACTCCTGGACATCTGGATGTTGTTCTTTCTTGCTCTAATCCTTTTATGCATTTATACATTGGAAATATTTTTTCTCAGAATCATTGGAATTCTTTGATTTTTAAAATGCAATGGATATTTGTAGATATTTTAGAATGCTTGCATTAAATTTGAATATTTATTCCAAACCTCCCCAGTCTAGTGGATTTATATGGCTATTCTATAGCTAACCCCAACTCAAATGTTGATGTCAGCATTTATGTATCTTTTCTTGCTTTATATTGATATTGATATTCAGACCAACAGGCTAGTAGTGGGAGTTGTAGTTCCAACATGTATGGAATATATGATGTTGGGGAAGCCTGAGTCATGCTGTTTAACTGGTTCTCCCCATCCTGCCAATAGAATCTACATCTAAAATGATGGACAGATATGTTACAACCTGAAACTGTCTCTTTAGTGTGCAGATCAAAGTTACTCGTGATGTCCAGAATTGTCAAAGTGTGATTAAGGTGCGATCCACTAAAACATGTAGAGAAGAGACTAACAGAGGATGGAGTTACAGATTGACAAAGGCTTGAAGTTGACAACTGAAGTTAACATGATGTGACCTTTCCAGCCTATCTTCCATTTGTAGTTCCAAAGATGTAGGCTCTTAAAAAAAAGGGATGAAGGGGATTATTTCGGGCTATTATTGTGTTTCCTATATTTTAAAATTATCACTTCAAAAGTTAGGGTAGCATGTGCTATTTTCATACTGTTATCTGCTTATTCTGTGGACAAAATCACCCCTGAGTCTTGATGAACCAGTGGCAAATAGCAACCATTACCCTGCAGCTATTGGTTTCCTGGTTAACAACTAATTTATATTGCAGGAACTACTGGGGGAAAGTGGAAATGTGGGTCTAACTTGTATTATGAAAATGAGTGTCCTTGCCAAGACAAAATGATCATAAAATACGCCTCTGCCTCTTCAGAAAGCACCTTGGCTAAACTATAAACGGTGTTCTCATGTGAAAAGGCCTTTTGTTATTCAGTTCTATCAGCATGGAAAAGTACTTGAGTTTTGAAATACTCTATGAGCCGGAAAGTATAGAATGATGATGGTTATTTATACCCAGCTTTTCTCTCCACAAGGAGACTCAAAGAGGCTTACATTAAAAACATATCAATACAATTTAAAATCTAAAAATATGCAAACATTAAAGAGAATCAAATATAAATGGTATTCATAGGTATAGGCTAATACCACCATAAGACACTTGATCCATAAGTTTGGTTTCCTTTTGTTAATTTGGCTTTTGCTACCACCAATAAATAAGACTGCTCGCATGGAATGTATGGGTCAGAAGTTATACTATTAAAGACATTGTCCCCCTGTGAATGCTTTCTGTGGATTTGCTATTCATCATTTTGATAGTAGACTCCTTCATTGAGTATGTTCTTAGAAATGAGGTTGAGTCAACTGCCCTCGATCACAGAAATTCCTTAGAATTGTAGATCTTGGTCCCCAAAGAAGTGAAATCACAAGAATAAAGCATCTCTAGTCATATCTAGATTCAGTGTCCCTCATGGACTCATCAGCACACGTTCTGTGGTAATCGATCTGGGAGAAAACCTGAGTCCAGGTACATTTTTAAAAAAGAAATAACCTATTTACACACAAGTTTCATCACTCCCTGGCATCTTTTCTTCTTCCTTCTTAAACAGAAATATCTGATTTAATCTCTGACACGTACTTAACTTCATTTTAAGCCTCCCAGTCCTCCAACACATTCTGTCTAGCCTTATAATTACCATATATTCCTCTTTTGCCTGGCCCAGTTCAGTTTCTTCTGGCTTTGAGTGGAAAGCAGTATGCTCTTTGGACATGACTAGATTCGTTTTCCTCTTACTATGAGTTTGACTCTTGTTTTGGGTTCCCTCCTGTAGAAGTATTATGGAAATTCTAAATTGCGCAAGGCAGAGTGTTCCTCAGTGTTTCCTGCTGTGATCTACAATACTGTGGCCAACTTGACAGCTCTTGTGTTGCATTAGATGAATCCCATTCTAATCTTTTGCTGTGAGTGCTGGCATAACGAAGATGCCCTCAGCTATATTTTTCACTTCCCTCTCCCCGTGTCATTTCCCACCGTGATTCCTGTCTTGCAGCCACTCCAGGCTGACGAGTGTTGGCTCAGCACTGAAGAGGTCAAGCTTCTGGCAATGAACAATTAATTCCCTCCTTTCCCTCCACTCCACCCTTTATCATCCATGGGAGTGTGGGCCCTCCAGGAAGGAACCACCAGAGATTGGCAGTTACTCATCCAGCACCCAGCTACCAGCTGCATGCTTGCTTTTGCAAAGGCTGGCTGTGTTAGAGGAAAAGAGGAATTTATTTATTTATTGTGTGTGAAATTCTGTGAATTTTCACTTAAGGTTGAAGCCTGATCTTGTTCACATGGAAAGAGACAGATGAGCAAGATTCAAAAGGGAATTAGGAAGAACCTTGCTGCATCTGAATATTTGAAATCAGCAATCACATTTGTGGCTTGACTGTCCATGAGTGTCTGCAGCAGCAGGAGCAGCAGAAGTGAGCCCTAGTTTGGAAGAACACATAGACCGAGATTGAGATATGAGACAAGTTATATAGAGTAAATCTCCACATGTGGAGTTATGCATTGTGTTTTGAATGACAACATTGTGCAAGTGAATGTGTATCCACGTGCTTTTGCCATTGCTTGTGCAACTCTAATTTGGTGATCATGAACTCAATGGAGGCATTTCACATTGGATTAAAATGTCCAATTGCTTCCGCATGGGGAACTTAGAATACAAGCAAAATTCGGAACAGTGATGAAAGTTTCTCTTGAAATAGTAATATCACATATGGCCCAAGTCTCCGTAGAGAAATCAACACCAGAAAAAGCAACTGTAACCATATTCCATGTTTTAGAATATTAGGCTTACCAAACTTTTGAGACCCCCTTGTCTGACCAACAAGCAAGATGCCACAAAAACAAGAAGAAAAATGGGTGAAATTGAGGTGTGTGTGTGTGTGTGTGTGGGGGGGGGGGTGATACTGTGTCTCTTCAATACATGTTCTTTGCAGGCTGATGTCTTGGGATGTAATAGGGAGGAGTGGGGGCACTCATCAGGGGACCTGAAGTTACTAGGTTTCAACTAGATTTGTCCCCGGGGTTCCTGGGAAGGAAAGAAAAAGTAAGTGGCCTTGGGAAATGTAATACTGTAAAAAAAAAATCCTACAACTTCTCTTTGCTCCATTTCCAATATGCAGATTCCCCACTGGTATTCCCCGCTCCCATAGAATGGCTTGATTTGCTCCTGTGTTTCAACCAGAGGTTTGATTTACAGAAATCAGCAGCTGAAACTTTCCATGGCATGATGCAAAATCTTATCACCTACTCAAGGCTGCAGATCAGATAGCTCTTAAAAGCGGAAAGGGAGTCAAGTTCAGATGTGGCAACCCTCTGATCAGCCCGTTGTATGAGGTTTAGATAACTG